AGAGATTATTGCCAGAAGCGACATCATGATAAATGTATTAGTATGTACTTTATGTACTTTTAAGGAAATAAAACAATAAAAACATATTAAACAAAAAAAAAAGGAGTTTCAGCTCATTATTACATAGAAAAAGTGATCTCAGTGTTTTTACCCTTTGTATGATTGATGGTGCTAAGTAGACTGGGTTGAGTATTCCTGTAAATGCTGATCTGGGATTTTTACCTACAACAGTTTCTAAAGTTTACTCACAATGGTAGAAAAAGCAATCAGAGAGTGGCAGTTCTGTGGATGGAAATGCCACTCTTCACAATTGTGGTAAGCAGAAAATATGGATGGGTTACAAAAGCAGAAGATTACAATTGGTTCCACTTCTGCCAGCCAAGGACAGAAAGCTGAAGTGCAGTGGGCACAGGCTTACTAAAGCTGGACAGTTGAAGACTGGAAAGATGTAGCCTGGTGATTCCTATTGATGCACACAGACAGTAAGCTAGTCACCAGATCTGAATCCAATAAAAATCTAAAATTGACCCCAAGCCATTATAGTTTCCCTTGCTTTCTTATGTTTGCAGCTAACATTTGCATTTGCTGTAGATAATGTTGTCACTGTAATAAATCAGTAACACAATCTATAAATCCCACTCTCCTTTATCACAGCTTGCTGTTCGTATGCTCCCTCAGGAAAAAGAGGCCTTTTTAAAGAGCAATGCTCTTAAAAAAATGAATGTGAGGTGTCAACATGTATCATGGAACAGAATAGAGACACCTCACATTTACTTTTTTAAGAGCATTGCTCCTTGTACATTCTTATTTAAATGAGGCCTCTCAATCCTAAAGGAGCGTAAGGGCAGTGAGCTCTTGCCTGATAGCACTGCCCCTTACTATCCATCTAATAACTGTCTCAAGCACAGGGATATAAATCATGTGCCTCTCCTTGTATCTGGAGCAATGTTAGCTTATTGTGTATGTTAGGTCATTCTGCAAAACATTCTGCACCGTAAGACCCCCCATGAGCTGCTGGCCACACCCCACTGTCCATAAATATTTCTGCTGTTACTAGGATAACTTCCCTGCAGAAGCAGATATATATAGACCATGTCATTGTAGCAACCATTAAAAAAAAAATTAATATTGAAGTCAAAATGTTGTTAAGATATTTTAAATGCTGATTAAATAATTTGCAATGGATGCTGCATCTTGAGGTTTAAAAGATCTGGCCCTGATATCCTGTTTTTGGATGGCTCCTTTCCCTTGAAGTGCTTCTATGGAGCCACCTTTGTAATGTTGTACTGGACAGGAAGTTTAGGGAAGCAAAGCTAAGAGATTTGGAGCCAGCTGTTTGGAAATATGATGACTGTAAGAGCTTGGAAAAAAAAATTAAGAAATATTTTGTGGACAATGTATATTTGTTAGATCTGGATTCAATATTGTATAAAGTGTGGAGAGTGTAATACTACTTTAATTGCAAATTTGCTTTAAAATGACAGTAATGTATAATAATTATACCCCCTACCTATCCTATGTTGTCTGCCATCCCCATATATATTTCCGAAGCTTTCAGGCTTCTTACATGACATGCAGGATCCTCTTCCTCTTGCAGTAGGTGGTCTTCAATGATGCAAAGAACATTGCTGATGTAATTACATCAGTGCAGGTCTTTGTATCATTGTACTGTGAACGCAAGACATCATTGTGATGCCATCCCCCAGATGTTTGGTTCATGATGCTGTCCACTCATAGGAAGTGGGGTGAATGATGCTAGGTGTCATTCAACCAGGAAGAAAACTATTTCTGGATCACAGTGCAGGTGAGCCTGTGAGGGGCAAAGAGGAGGTGAGTATCGCATCAAAAGCTGCATTTTATATTTTTTTACAATTATTTGTCCACTTTTTTAAGCTAAAACTAGACTTGGGCTGTAAAGTAAACTCCAAGGCAAAAAAAACCAAAACAATCCCAGGTGCTTAATCTCGAAAAGGCATCTGATAGCTGAACTCCAACAATTAAAGACCTTGTGGCAGCAGTTTTCAAACAATTTATTGTTGAGCTTTAAAGCACTTAACTGGCATTAAGAATGAAATGCAGCTGCCCATAATGCAACTTTCAAATCTGCCAAAAAATATTCACAAGTAAAAAAATAAGTTTTCACAGTATGACTTACCTTTTTGATGAATTGCCCCAGTTGTCAGCTTTCCCCAGATGGTTCCAATAAATATTATCATAAGAATTGTCCCCTTTGTTGCCTTCTGCAAATATCTTTTATTCATTCTGTATGAATAAATTAATTCATACTTTAGTATGTGTGAAGTCTATAGAATTAACAGACAAAGTAAATATTAGTAAACGATATTAATGCTGCAAATAATGCACAATCATACCAGATATATATTAATAGAACAGATACATTTTATATATATTTCTATCCAAGATTACTAAATATAACTGAGCTGCAGTCCTACAGACACTCATCATAAACAAAAGTTTATCAGCCTTTATTTAGCTTTTTTTAAACAGTAAGGAAACCACACCATTTCGAACAACTAATGTAAAAAGGCAGAGAACATAAACTTTGTGTAGTCCTGCTGCTTAAAGGCTGGGTGCATTTTCAGCACTGATCATTTATTTAGTTTATCCCTGCACCTTGTCCAAATTCAATAGAATGAGGTAACTGTCCTGACAACAGCAGATTTCACAGACCATGGTCTGCAACCTTTTAGTATCATTTGGGAACATTGGGTAATAATAGCATAGTCCAACAGTTGATGCAAAAATCCAACCAAACACACGTGCAAATTTACAGGCCTAAAGAGTTGTAATTCGAATGATTCGTGTTGTCTGGCACACTACATTGCAGAGAAAGTGACCCAATGTGTATACTCTATAGCTTCCTGTGTCAATTTCTCTCCTGCTTATTTAATACTGAATATCACCAAACTGTGATCTTCTTCTTCAATAGTTTTCTCTAGCACCCCTTCATCACCCAGACAATATGTAACATGATACAGGTTATACTGAAAACACTGTACCATTCAAACAGTCAACACTCTCACAGGATTCAAGCCTCCCACTCTAACAATTTTTTCTGGGGTGCAAGAATTATGGGAAGTTACTGTAATGACAGAGTTTTCTTTAACCACTTGAAGACCAGGTGTTTACACCCCCTTACTGGCCAGGCCATTTTTCAGTATTCAGCACTGCAGTATTTTGACTGATATTTATTCTGTCATACAACGCTGTACTGAAATTTATTTTATAAAATTTTTTGGGGACAGAGAGATCGTTCTTTTGGTGGTATTTAATCACCACTGGGGTTTTTATTTTTTACTATATTAAGGAAAAATTACTGAAAATTTTGAAAACAACAAGTTTTTTTTTGTTTTTTTTTACATTAAGTTATAATACAATTATTATTACCCATTTTTTCGGTAAAATATAAAAGACGGGGTCACATCGGGTAAATAAACAATCGTCGTTTTCGCACGTAGGCGCACCCGATGCATGTTTGCATGCGTGTATGTATGGGTGGGGACTTTTTTTAAAATGGTGTTGCTTTTTAATTCTTTTTCATGTGTGACTTTAAATTTTTTTTGCAACCTAAATTTTTTTTTAAGAAACCCCCCTATGAGATAGCAAAGAGTATATGACAGGTCCTCTTTATGGAGACATCAGGGGTCTCAAAGACCCCTAATGTCACCTAGGGACGCCCAAAGAAACTGATGAAGCAGAGATCTGCTTCATCAGCTTCTCTCCAGCTTCTGAAGCTGGAAAGTGACACAAGAATGCGGAAGTGATGTAATATACATCACTTCCGCATTCTGACACTGGAGAGTGGACCAGAGGGAGAACGTGCACCGATCTTCCTCTGATCCCCTGTCACAGAGCCACCACGCTGGTCCCGGGCTCGCACTGGGCAGAGTCTGGAACCAGCGGGAGGTGGGGGGCTGCAGGGGGGGTGCACATACCAGCATGTTATACAAGCGATCTGCCAGCTCTACAGCCGGCAGATCACTTGTATGTAAACAGGCATCGCTGCTTGTTTTTAAAATTTGGCACTTTCCCGCTACTGGGCTGACAGGACACAACGTCCGCTCAGATCCAGGAAGCTCCCGGCCGGCCGTTTTTGTAAACAGGTAAAGCAAAAACTTTTTTCTATAATAGTGTGGGGAAGGATTAGAACCCTGGTAAGTTTTTTGGGCTAATTACTTTCTAACTATTATTGTAATGAAAAACTGTCTTGAAAGTAAATTGTTGGCTCCCACTGCTGATCTTTCCTTATGAAAATGCTAGTCACTTGGCTGTCATGTGGATCTAATTGCTTCAATACTTTATAAGGCATTGAAACAAAGGAGGTGTTCACCTGTGAAGTCAGAACTGTTGACTGCATACATATGAATGGTTAAAGATATACAAATTATTGAATCCAGAGAATCAGCTTGACAGCCAGCCAACAACCACTTTAAGACCAAAGCCAGCAATAACAGTCAATATATTTTCCTGATGACGGGTTATCTTTAAGGCATATTCAAAAATAGATTTATAAAAGTTTCTAGGATAAACATTATTCAAGCGGCCAAGCATTGTATGGGAAGTGACTTCAATTATTTTAGTTATTATCTTGAATGTATTCCAGTAATTATCTGTGAAACACATTTTGAGCAACTTACTGTACATGGAAAATTAATCGGATTTTACTGGGTCTGCATTTGTGACAGAGTAATTAACAAGTTGATTCACTGGAATAATAATCCATCCATATAACTTAACTTTCGGATAATCCTTGAAAAATTTAAATACATATGTCAGAATGATGTTGTAAGGGTTTACTGGAGTATTTCAGGATGCCTTGTAGCATTTAATACAAAGATAAATCTGTAAAGCCTATTTGGTAAATCTTTAACAGAATATGTGGTATATAAACTACATATTCTTTAATCCATCCCCTGTAACTATTTATTTACAGCCTTATCTTACCCATGCTTACAAACAAAAAACTTTGTTTTAATTTGGGTTTAAACTGAAATTGTATTATGTTTAATACTTTAGCACACAAATGTATATATTTAATATATATATTTAATTCAAATGTTTGTACATTATATTACATAGTCAATCCACTCAAAACATATAGTATATTTAGATCATGCCTGGACAGTAGTGGGCTAAAAAATCCTCATGTATCTTATATTGCTGTCTCCAGCTGCAAGACCTCCCCTGTTTTATGGCTATCCACTTGTCATAGAGCCTTGCAAATTTTTTGTATTGGTTGATTTACATTTACATTTTAATGCAAAATCGAACAAGATTTTCAGTATGTAGGGGACACTACATGTCTCTAGTGGGACTGCAACAATATAATTTACTACCATTGGTGAATTGCTTCAGAGAGGGAGCTTTTACTATAGCAACCCCTACAGTCATTATGAGTGTCAAAGGAAAGGTGAGGTTGGTGTGGAAGCATCCTACCAGCACTTCCTGCAATAAACTTGCTCTCTGCAACCAGTCTCTTTTGATACTACCCAGTGTAGAAAAAAAGTCAATATTATCTTTATTTTTGCTTAAAAGAGAACTATGGGGTAAGGGTTTTTCCCCATAGTTCTCCTAAGGGTCAAGGGAGGACATAAACTAGCGTCCCCCCGTGACCTAAAGCCCAGTATATCGCGAGCTATAGCTCGCGGTATACTGAGACCGCCGCAGCCGGGACGGATCCCGAGATTACTGTGGAGATCCACCCAGCTGCGTGATTGACAGCTGGCTCTACCTATCTAGAGGCAGAGCCAGGTGTACCCGCCCCCTCCCCAGTCCGTTCCGCCAGTCAGCACTGGAGGATCAGAGCGGGGAGAGGGGGAATCCCTGCAGGGAGCCGTGAGTGACAGTAAAGGCTCTCTGCAGGGAGATGATCGAGAAGTGAGCGAGCAACGGTATGTGTTCGCTCACTTCCCGATCTATTGAGCTGACGTGACAGTTTCATTGTCACATGTCGGCTCGAACTATGAGGTTGAGGGAAAATCACTCACCTCATAGTTCTCCATTAACGTTTTTTTTAAATCAATGTATCATTCAAGATTTGCACAGTTTCACATAAGAATTTACATATATGTATGTATTTACCTTTATATGATACGAACAACTCATTGGGGTCCCTGTTAAAATTCATACCAGACACTTATTCAGGCGTGCTCTCTGGCTGGCCAGGAAGGGGGGGGCAGTGACTCCGATCCATACCAGGCCACATGCCCTCAACAGTGGGAGGGTACCTTGCAGGCAAGGGGGTCAAAACTGCCCCACCTCCTGCAAGGCACCTTGTCCCCATGTTAAAAGGGACAAAGGCCTCATCCCCATCTCCTGGCCCAGTGGATGTGAAGTTCTGCAAGAAGGACTTATCGGTATCTGGAAGCCAGATATTCAGCCGCCCTCTAGATGAATGGCTATGGGGCACATAGTACCATTTGTTACTCAGTCACAAAACCATGTTAAATAGTTAATAAAAACATAGACACCATAGAAAAAAGTCCTTTATAAAAACAATGCCTCTGATGTAAATTCAGCATCAATCCTCCAGCAATGTAGACCCAACTTAATTTATGATGAGCCACAACCCGCTGCCAGGATGACCCATGGTACAGCGACCTTCTCCTACTGCTAATTTACACTGCTTGTTGAAGGTCAACAAGCTGGCCAGAGATCCCGGGTGACATCATTACCATGGTGGTCAATGACATCACCCAGGATCACAGGCCATGGAGCTGTCATTTGCGACAGAAGTAGCAGCATGAGAAGATTGTTTTGTGCTTGTGTGTGTTTCCTGTTAATGGTACATGGTATGTCTTTTGTAGAAGGCAAAATGAAAAATCAAATATTCCTACCTGTTTAAAAGCAGAAGGGTCACAGCCTAGTCTTGATAGGAGAGAGAAAAATCATAGCGACAGGAGCTCAGCTTCTTAGAAAAAGAAACTAACTGAACTTTCTTATTTGTGTCATGTTCAAGGTTCAAGGTTTACATATCAGCAAAGTTCTTGACATCCATGTTCCAGACCATTTGACCCACCCCAGGTTTGCGCCTCTCCCTGACAGGAAATATCCCACCGGGGAAGACACACACCCATTGCACTGCAGCATGAGGAACAGACAATTGGGGGGTGATTTACTAACCTAAACACACGCACGCACTAGGTGCGTGTGATTTTTACACAGCGAAACGTATTTATCAACCAAAAAGTGTCTAAAAGCATATTTCCACTAATGCTATATATGGAAAAATCATGCACATG